TGTTCACAAATAGCAAGACCATCTATTCTCACTATTTTTAGAGTCAAAGTTTCGCAAAGCAACTAGGTTCCTGCCAATGTTTTAAACGGATTTTGCAATCCGATTACTTGCTATGGGTATGCCAAGTCCATAAATGCAACAAATTTGTATCTCGGTTATTACGTTTTGGGTTTTGTTCAGAATAAAATCATTTATAATCTTTTTTGCGTGAAAGACATTTTTTAAAGGTAATGGAAGAAGCTTACTTGTAGTGTCCAAAACCTGCATTCTTAGGATCATCAATCTTTCAATGATATTTCACAAGTAGAAGTGTCAAATGCAGGAGACCTTATTATACTCTTATGAGCTAATCCGCATTGATCCTTATTTATTATCATCATGTGACAGCAGCATGTAAATGTATTGCTTACATGTGTAAAAGTACAAAATTGTTTTATCAAGTGGTCCTTTTACCCGACATTCATTTATTTTCCTCTACAAACGTCATTCTTTCGCATGGAGACTAGAGGTATTTTTTAAACAGCTATGTTAGGTGTTATGACATTTACTATCTAATGAAGTTGGAGTTAAATGAAAGGGTGAAATAAAATTCCTTCTTGCACTGATGAGGAGCTTAGCGATGTACACGATAAGCTTCTTTTACAGCGCTTCAAGCCATTCAAACGTGTGACATCCAAAAGCGCAAAAATAGTTTGCTTATGTGCTCAGGCTCTCAGAATATTCATAATTTCATTGCGGATACAGACACAAACAGCTAGATGTGAGTGCGATCCTCACTGGGCAGATTACAGATGGGATCGATTGCTTGAGGTTAACAGATCTTCAACAGACGCCGATCATCCATCCTGACCACAGATTGCAGAGCATCTTGACTATATGTTAGCAGCAGGAAGATATGAAAGAAGTGAAGGAAGCTAATGAGATCGTTCTATTCAGTTTACTCATTGTTTAGAAGTCACCGGTGAAAAGGGACTACAAATTCAAGCCACATATTGACGATTTTGAGCAACCGCTGCCAATAACCTGTTTTTGGTCTATCAGCTCCATTTTGAGGAATGTGATTTCTTCGACTGAAACTGTTTTCGATTTCCATGTTCAAGAGACAGGTGAAAAAATTCAACTGTGGCAAAGCAGATGAGCTTAGTTGTTTCTTAAGTTCCAAGTTTTCTCAGGGTGCCTAGCATTAAATACCATTAGGTGAACCACCTGACGATCTCAGCACGATCAACACGCCTTTGGGATTGTGCAAATATAACTTCATGGCACATGGACTCAAAATATCACCCTGAGTGTTCCAGTAGAACTGTATCGTGGAGACTTATTAATACGCTGCTGTAATTTTATGCTTTAGAGAGTCTACGCAAGATTCCTATTTTCCATCTCTACTCAGACGATTCCAACAATTCAGTGCTGCTACTAGTAAAAAGGAGTGCATCCTCGCTGAACCAAAAATTCTCATGCCTTGGTTGCATTGCGCAAGAAATTAGTTGCAGACCAGATCACAAAAGGCTGCCATCACATGTTAATCCACCTTTGCCGACTGGTTCACCCCATGTTTGCTCCGTTGATGTGCTGAAATATCAGCCACCATCTATTTCAAACCCTTTCAAGCATGTCATCTGTTTATCTGACATTTGAATCTGGAAATGTGCTCGTGAAAAGAAAATTTGTTCCTTGCCAAGCTCTCTTAATTGAGCTATATTACAAAAAAACTCCTCTTTATGGGTAAGAATTTTACTGTAGAAACCAATGCGTCATGTATGGGTGGGGTCCGAGAGGCCCGACTCCTGGTCCGTGCTAAGAAGGAAGTCTGCAGTCTCATGTACTCGCGTATTTAAACAAGTAAATTTAAACAAATGTCTTTTAACTCCACCGTTATTATGCCCTGGTATACCGCACTATATCATTGGAAGAAATTACGTGTCTGCTTCTTTTTTAGAGATGAAATACCACTAACAAGGAATTTTGGCTTTTGTTGCAAAATGTGCAAATAGGATTTCCTCGTATGTCTAAAAGATAAGTGAACAAATATCTGTTAAATTAATACACATTTAGGTAAACAAATATTTCCAGCATATGCGTATAGGTGAATTATGCTTTACAAATGCATACCAGCACAGTAACCGTTCATCTACTACATGCTTTCTTTTACCACATTTCATGTGGCATGACGGTCATCAGAGCATGCTTCACCCAGCCTACCCGAAAACATTCAACCCTCTTCTGCAGTAAATTGTGCCTTATGCAACGCAGTATCCTTAATTTAGAGGTGTGTAGTCAGAGATTGACAATAAACGTGATGGTAACATAATCAAGTACAATTAAAGCCCATCCCTTCATGCTGGTGTGGATGCTGAATTCGTCCCAGAAAACAGCGTATACAAATCCCATCTCCTCATGTAAATTCCATCATTCATTAATGTTAAAAAACCAAGAACCTACATTATACAGCTGCATGACCACAGCATTGAGGAAGCATGGACTGCGATTGATTGTAAGGGCTCGATGTGCTCCGTGGCATAACAAATGGCCTAAAGAGCACTTTAAAGAGAAGTGAGCGAGGATTCGGGAGAGAGGAAGTGCAACAGATGCCTAGTCAGCCAATTTCAATTGCTAATTTGACAATTTTGGCAAGTGAAGAATCGCCTGGTTGGAATTGCCTGTATGCACTTCAAAAGAGTCGTACGCATCGCGTGCAACTTCACGATACCATCCAGTTCGCAGTCGCTACTTCCGCTCAGGCGGACAATTCGGTCGTCTTTGGGCTGAAGCTGTTGTGAGCCTTAGTTGAAGATCACCGAGTACTGACAAACGACGTAGCGATTTAACGGTTGGTGTAACCTACTACGGATGCAAGATATTGTTGCGAATTGAGCTGAACCACAGAGGTGTCGAGATGTAAACACTCTGTGCTGACCCCATTTAAGTGCTGACACAGCTCGTTCTTCCCTTCATTAGATGCTTCGAGTATTCTGTTGACTGAGTCATCCAGATCTCAGTACCATCCATAAAACAAAAAATGAACTTCAGACGAAAGATTCAAAAGAAAAGTTTTAAGTAATTTTGCAGAATCAAGTAAATGTGTACAAGCACTACATCGATTTGATATATTAACAAAGCACATGAACACATGAAACAACTTTGCGCACATAGTAGTCGTATAAATAATGATGAACCCATACGTAGTGTTGAACTTGTCACGATCCGCGTTACAGAGGAGACTACACTCACCTCAAATAATCACATCTGACGCAAAACGTCACATGTGGGAGATTATCAACCCTCCGCCTATTAACAGCACCACGGTGTGATTGCAAGCCCTTGCTCACGTTCTATTTGCTAAAATTCCTTTTGTTTGCACAGGTTATTTTTACTTCCTACCATCTCAGGAATAAAATTCTCCGTCGACCTTTAAACAGTGAACAAATCATGAAGGTCTGCACGCACAATTGATTGTCAACGTACCATTTGCCAATTTTTTTGGCAGCAAACATATTCGTAGTCTCGGAACACCACAGTTCCATTCGGAATGGCTTGAAATTGGAGGTTGATTACTTGCTTGTCATCCAAGTGACAACCACATTAATAGACTAACGTCAACGAGATGCATGGTATGTATACTTGGAGTGGCCGATCCATGTCTGTAAATATTAATTCACACTTCTAGTAGCAACCAGAGAACTTATGAAGTTACTGATTTACCGAAGAAATGCACTGAAACAGCTCACCTCACTTGCATCGTACCAGTCCTTGCATTCCTCTCGATGGGCACACTTGGCATTTTACGCGGAGTTGAAACACTTCCGTGTTATCGTCGTATATTTGTCAGCAGGGAGGACGACCAATCCACAAGAGATTCAAAAAAATTACATTTCTTGGGTTTTTTGACAACCTTTGAAAAAAACCGTCAACTACCTTCTGTGAAGCCTAATAATAGAAAAGGTGTGAAAAATTGCGGGACAGTTTCTAAAAGATGTCGGTGCTGCAAAACGTTACCTTTCCCTCATGGATCACACCCCCTAAATTGCTGAACCCGTAGCCGCTTTAGATTCCCATGGAAACACAAATGCCTCTCTCCTTTTACATGCACACAATTTCGTCCAAACGGGTACTTTTCGGTATATCCAACTTTATACATTTGCGTTAATTTTTTTCTTCTTGAATATAGACCACTAAAACAGTTATTAACCTGCAAAACCGAAAAAAAAACAAATCCAATCTACACGCAGTTCCTGTCATGGGGGTACTGCAAATTATGGTCAGCAGTATTAATTTCCTTGTACTAGCTTCCAAGTCGTTACGTCCCAATCACATCGCAAGGGTATTTTCAAAGGATTCTAACCTGACGCCATGCCTTCGGAACTTTCAACATTACAAGTGATACCCACTGTAACGAGTGAACACCTTTCACAGGACAATACTGCTTTTGATGATAAGGAATGCAACCAAGTCAAACGTATGTGTGTCTGATTACTGAACGAGCAGCACGAAGTGATGAAACTTTCATCTCGTTTGAGTGCTTCATCCCACCGCCTCGTGAACAAATAACCGCTACGCCGAGCCCGTTGTGTTATCCGCTTTCGTAAGCCCCATTTTGCCCAGGGTGTCACCACTTGAAATACTTTCAGTTCACACCTTTAGGCCGTCTTTACTTCAACAGTGGATCCAAATATTTCCTGTGAAACCGCAGCAGCAACAACCATATAGGCTGAACTTGCTACCAAGTCACGTCGACCGCAATCGTGATAAACCGTCTTAATGACAGCAGCAACGCATACGATGGCATAGCAACAAGGCTCATACATACAGGTATTTATAAATATGACGAGAAAAAGACTTTCAACAAGGGCACCAAGTACTTGTGCACCTCTGCGCTTGATGGGACAAATACAGATAGTGAAGGGAGTACACTGAGTCACACTTACTACTCTCCTTGAGGATTTGCACGTGGGGCGATGGAGATAAAGGGAAAAACAGGGACAAGGATACATGCACGAGGCTCAAAGAGTGTCCTTACCACGTGACCGCCTTCTCTTGTGACGATGCTTGCGATGGTGGCGATGCTTGCGCCTGTGACTCCTCAACTTCTTGTGTCTTTTACTGTAATGAAATCTCCGTAAAATGTTGACCTCTTCACTGCAATCCTTCCTTGGAATCTTTGGGGGAGCTGAACCTCCACCATCGGAAGACGAAGGAGACCTAACGCTGGAGCATTCACCGTGAGTGCGTTTCCGAGAAGGCTGTTGCTGCATCAGAAGATCGGTTTTGGTCATTGGAACCCATTCTACACTGCTCTCAGTGCTTTCGCTACCGCTGCTGCTAGAAATAGCAACCGTGCTTCGACTGTGCGCCGTATTACTGGACGAGCTGAGATGACTGCTTTCGGTATCTTGTTTGAAATGGCTACCGCCATTTAAGTGCTTCGGAGAATTGGACTTCCTCGTTTTTTGAAGTGGTGACACCTTTCGGAACACGCAAATAATCACTTCTAGATGTCTATTTTTTTTGCAAATTTTACAACTCTGCTAACCAAAAATATAAAGGGTCAGTTGGATTAGCAAGTCCCCTGTGCCATGAGACGAAGTAACATCAAATCACGGCAGAATTCAATCTCCCCTACCTTTGCACACAGACGTAAATCCATTTTGTCTGTCGGCTTATAGGTAGGGGTAACAATGATACAATGATTACACAAACTTCAGGCATATGAGACAGAGCTAACCGATACCGTTAACGCCAACACCATGTAAAGCCCTTATTTGGGAGGCGGTTTAGCACACAAATTACTCAACCATTCACATCAACGCAGCTAAGACTTCTGCAAGACAATAGCGCAAAATTATGGCCCCAATATATCTTCCCACCCTCGCAAGGCAGGTTAAATATCCTATTTGTCGGCTTATAAATATAGGTGTGGACCGAACCTCTGTTCCTTCACGATGCATACAAAAACTAGCCGCTAGGTAGATTTCTGGGGCATCACAAACGGCAAAATCACTGATTCCAACCTTCTCACGCTGAACAAAAACGGTCGTTTTATTGATATATCTGCGAATGCAAGCTATACTATTTTGGGCACGGAACTATCGTAATAAACAAAACCAATGAACAGGCTTTAATAGCACAACTCGAAAAAATACCAGGTTTTTTCGTGCATCGTGTATTTTTGCCCCTCACGATTAGTAAGGGAAAATTTTGCGAAAGGAAATTCCCAAAAACGGAACTCACATTGGTAGTGACCGAGAAAGACCGATTTGCGTGCGAGAGCGATACGTCAGCAGCACCAGTTGCTTCATTAACCGTTGCTTTTCCATCAATCGCAGTCTCCACCAACTTTTCATTATCTTGGGAAACGTGGGATTCAGGTGTCTTGGGGACTAAAAAGCAGCAATTTCGCCACTGTCACATGAGTTGAGTTGAACAGCCAAGAAACCGACTATGAAGACGTTTAACTATGTTCAAAAAGTGAAGAACTCGGAAGACCATTGGAACAAACTTCTATCAACGCTTATTGTTCGAATAACTGACAATGAATTCTGTTCCTAAAAATATGCCTATGAAATCACATGTAATGAGTGAAATTTACTGCGACGGTCTTAGAAACCATGGAAATGGGTGTGCTGATAAAGCAATTTCTAATACTTTCGCATGTACCACTTTTGTTAACATAGATGTAAATCAAGGAAATTCCCTCACAAAAACACCAAAAAAAACCACCCAAACAGTAGTAACTCCCACATTCAGACACTTAGTAAATACAGTTGCAACGTTGATAATATCAGGGACAGAATTGAACACGCTCATGGCTTTGCACCGTATCTACTCATCCACTTGAACATTCTGTAGCGGGTATATTCATCTGATATACATCTCCTACGCAAAGCGCAAGCAGAACGAACGACTTCTTTCCATGTTTTGAGATGCTAGCGCAACTGTGCAACGATAGGAAACAATTCTTCACCTGGAACACCAACGTACGACGCTGACGAAGACTGAGAAATGAGTGGAGTGGGTTTGGCGAGAACACGGGGGTGAAACGTGACAGCAGGTTTGGGTCGGACAGGACCAGGAGGTAAAGGAATCGACGCTACGTCGATGTTTTCTTCTGAGAGAGCTTTCCTACTGGGACCCGATTGTGACGAAGTCGACGCAGGAGCCGAACTCAAAGGCTTAGTATCCGAATGGAACTGATCAACATTGTTACCAACGGAAGTCAGACCTAAAACCGCCTCGGGAGAGGCCTAAAATGTGAGAAAACAAGTGCTATTACACGATGTGTAAACCGAAAAAATACGGCGAGGAGAAGCCTGATACACTAGAAAAAATTTAAAAAGCGCTCAAGCATTGGGTACCATGAACTGACACGGTCAAATCGTAATAGTAAACATTGTTTGAGCAGGGTCAAATCTCCCATATTTTTGCACGAAGATATAAATCCATTTCTTCCACCACCTTAAACAGGGACGCAAGTGATACACCTCGTGGACTGCACAAACTAGTGAAACCTGTGGCAGATGGAACGAAGTCAACCAGCAGTACCTAACGCTGTTGACCCTGAGATTCTGCTTAACCTTAGTTTTGGAGGTGGATTTTGCACTTATAGACAATCCTACTGTGCAGTAAATAATCACACCTCCGTAAATGGACTGATTTACCAAAAAATTGCAGGTTAGCCCCTCACTCGCATATAAAATAAACACCTTTTAAACCGTCGGGTTGTAGAAAGGAACAACCGAAGGAGGTAATGTTCGAATAAGTGAAACAGTATCAAAAATCACATAAGAACATACCAGCTGATAGAAAAGCAAGTAAGGTGCCTGCCGGAGCACGTACTCTTGGGTCGTTGAAGTCACCTAAAGGGGAATACAATCATCTTGCACCTCCCTTCACGCATTTCGCTGCATTTTACTGTGTGCATCATTCAAACCGCCGCCACACTCATGCTCCTATATACCCACCCATGAAAACAGAACATTCATTAAACGCAACATCCATCATTACTTTCAAAATTGATACCGTCATTGTCAAACTTAGTCGTACATCAACCACTTCTAGTAGCAGAACACCCTACATCACTTAGCTGTTTCATGAAATATCACCAACAAACTCACAATGTTATCGTTGTGAAAGAACCACTGGTTCCTACGCTTGCTAAATGCCACATAGTGACCAGAGCGACACGTGATACCCTCGTGATTGAGGGTAGCGTAGAGATGATATAGCACCGGTGGGCCACTGGAGGAAGTCATGTGGGGACGCATATTGAAGGAGGCGGGGAAGTCTATATGAAAGTCGAGTTTTTGGCTACGTGAAAACCTAGGAACAAGAACAGAAGGCACCGTTGAATAATTCCAAAATATCGAACTTATGTGCATGTTACGACAGGCAACATTTTCCAATCTCTATAGGTGTACACTTCACCTGCCAAATTATAGACAGAAATGTTCAATCATACGCGTTCTTCGAAGACCGTTTTTATCCTCGAAAGAGGTTGGTAAACGAAATTTCCAACACTTTCAAGCCATTCTGCTGCGCGTTAAGTTGTAGCACCTTTCCCGACGGGGAAATACGCCTTTAAACCATGCTTTTGAATCAGCCATGAGTAGACCAGCAGAGCCTAAGCTCAAAACCACTTCGTCCACCTCACTAACGTGAAATCTTAACGTATACGAAAAGGATAACAAAAGCACTAACCTGTTAAATTGAACTATAAGAATGGGAGGCGCGCGAAAGACGCGACAGCAACGCTTCGCATGTCGCAACTGTTGGCAAGTCTCACATTTGTAAGCGTTGGCACCTTGAAGTATCTCAGTCTGGGTATAATTAACTAGACATTGCTAAAACAGGGAATATAAATTTTGAAATCAACCAGTACCATCAAGTGTGAAAAACTTTAGAAACTGCATACCTGCAGACTGCGAGCAAACGTAATATCCATTGACAAATTAAACCATTGGTCGTTCCGAAGAGATACTTTGTGACATGTATTACAGGTTACTGAAAGCAAAGATAAGGGAAAGAGCGTTGGAATGACTTTAAAGGGTTTGGAATAAAAAACTACAGTGGTAATAGAAGCGTTAACCTACCCTCAGAACGCGTAACACCACCGAAAATCCGGCGAATTACATTCGTATCGAGTATGGAGCGCGGCAACTTCCCGACACCAGTGACCACGCTTTCCTCCATTCGTGAGAGCAAACCCAACAAGTATTCATGAGCATCTTCCTGCGCGTAGACTCGCAGGTTCGGGCAAACAGCTGTGAAGGAAGATACCGCAGATGAATATGCATCAACAATCCAGGATTAAATGACGAAGAAACGATAAGGCTACCCCGAACATTCGTGGCAAAAAGAGCAGGGGTGGTGGACCCGAAGCTAGTTCGGTTGAGAAAGTCACTGCCCGACTGAGGTAAGAGGGAGTGGTTGTTTTGCTGCCCATGCTCCTGAAAGAGCCGAAAAAGGGCACAAAGTGCACAAAATCGCTGGCCATTTTTGTTATTTGCGTAGACGCAGACACCGGGTTTGCTGTGTTTCTCCCTGACGAAGTACAGCAATGCACCAGTTGCCAAGAGGCACTGGAGAACTGCGTTGAGATAACAAGTATTGCCGGTATTTCGGAAGCCCAGGTTGACACGTGGGAGAGCCGATTGAGCATCCTTACAGCACTTAATAAGTTCCGTGTCAGAAAAGAGGTACGGAGCCTTGGGACAACCTGCGAGAAAGCAATAAATAACGCGAGTACATTTCTACAATAAATAGTAGTAACACTGTGCGGAAGTACTAGAATGACGCCTATAATCTGTGAACCTACCTACGCTTTTCTCGCTGCGAGGATTCAACAGGACCGTCGAATTTGGCATACGTTCAATATGGACCTTGATAATGGTATCCAGGGGTGTCGCCGGCGATTTGTGGAAGGATATTATCTTATTTAAAAGATCCAGTGAAGAATCCATTTTTTGGGATGGGGGACTAGCATTCTTCAGTTTCAAAGAGGAGGCTATGGCTGCATTAATATTAACAGACGGAATGTGTTGAGTTGATGCTGAGTAGGATTGAACAGCAACATTGCTGCGGTAATCTTGATGGTGGGGGTTCAATCTGTCCTGCTCAAGTTGACTACCAGCAAAAGACGAGTGGGTACTGGGTTGTTGATACACAGCCGACTGAACACTGAGTGTCATCATTAAAATTCAAAATATTGACGTATTATACAGGTAAACCTAGGGCGGGAAAGAGGAGCTTAAGCTACCATTGACCTAACAAATGGAAATCTGAACCAATAAATGAACAGCCAACGAAAAACGCGGACAGAACGAAATGGTGCACAGATAAAATAAGGCAAATTTAAACATTGTTTTCCGAAAAAGCTACAGATAAAAAACAAAATCCAAAAATTCACAAATATACTGAAATAACAGCATTACCTTTGGGCGCTTTCTTAATTAGTTTGCCCTACATTTATAAAAATGTGGTTGCTTCGATCAAAGAGAAAGAATTCCCTCTCTGTTAATTGCCATTTTCTAAAAGAAAAAAACGCATTGTAAGGAAAAGGAGTTTTTGTAGCATACAAGCACTTGTATTAATATTTTGCTTTTGTCCGTTAAATTTTTGTTTCAAATACTTTTTACTTGCTTGCGCATATTCTTACATACAAATTGTAAGGAATAGGCGTCCAGAATTACGAATTTCGCTTCTTTGCTTTGCAGAAATGCACATGTTTTTTTGGCTGATAACACTATCCATCCCTTTCCGCACCCATTCTTTTCGTTTTTATTGCATATTGCCTATAAATTTTTAAATTTTGTTTACTAATTTTTCAGTTTTGTTAACGTGGTTTGATTTTGTTTGAATGTGTCTTCTGGGCCAGATGCGCTCGGCAAACACAAACGCCCGGCGGGTCGTACTTGGCGTGTGTCAGTGACGTTTGTGGTGCTTTATTTACCATCGCCAAATAAGGCATGCATCGTCCAGCTTGGCTGCTCGTTCCATGCCTATGAAGAGCGAAGTTGAAGGGGGAAACTACATGTTTGTTGTAGGCATGGAGTGTGGTTAGTTCATATATATGAAGTTATTTTATTCTCGGATGTTCTTGTTGCTCACATAATTGGTTTCGTTCTCATTTGTTTGCTTCATGTTCGCATATTTTTTCGGACCCTTTGAGACCCTTTTTCTTGTTTGTTATTCTCAGAAACTCCCAACCTGCTGCTACATTTCACCCGCAGAATTCGGAATTCCTTGATGTAATAGACTTTATGAATGCTTCTACGGCTATTCTGAGTGCAAGACTCCTGCATTTAGCAGCATACTAGTTGCCGACATTGACTAGATAACCACATTTGTGGGGTGTTATTCCCGCTCATTTGACTACTTGCTGGACATGTCATTCGAAATTGCTGCCGTGGGTGTGCCGTTGTCATCACGCCTTTTTTTATTCAGCGACTGTAGAAATGTATGTCACCGTGTGTTGTATTACATATATGCACGAAATGCGTGAACTAGTTCTAGTTTGTGTATGCGGGTACCGCTTTCGAAACTGTCCCATTTTGCTCTTGAATGCCATTTCCATCACTCAGGTGGAATAAGGCTGGACTTGTTCTCTATATGAAGGTTATAGCAGTGCATGCACATTACTACAGCTACAAACGAAAAAAGGTATGATAAACGAGCGGTCCTTACACCTCTATACATTTTGTTAGCCTCAGAGAGATGATTTGACGGCTGTCATGAGTATTTTTCCTTGTCGCTAAGCCTTGTATGTGGTGGCCATGATAGACATAAACAGTGGTAGGGAAAATAAAATAGTGTTGAGTGAATTCCACTGGGCACTTCAGTGACTTCACTTAACCCTTTTATAGACTTAAGTCTAGGATGCAGTGCGTTCAGAGCCATGGGACGGAATCCATTAGTATAAAGAGAGCCTTAGAGCGGCACTAGTCGTGAACCATCTGGAACAGTTCATGATGGATCTGTGTATGATGGGCGTGTAGGTGCCAAATAGGTGAACATGCGGTGTTTCCTCCACCTCTTTACCAGCTTATTAGAACCCAGAAACAGACACGGAACGTTATTCCTATGAAACAATTTTAAACCCCTTCTTTTCAAATGATTTTTTAGACCAGTGTTCCTGCAACTTGCGATGGGGATTGTAGTGGTGTCGTAGAGCATCACCCATTCTCCAGCAGTGTTTTCCAAAGCACCGACTACGTTGTGGTTAACTTGGAAGGTTGACCAAGGAGGTCGCCGAGGACAGTGTTGCCTTCGGGTTGTGCCAGTAGCCTTTCAATTCGTCTGTACCTCAGTAATACATTTTCTGCCCTACTACTGTGACTTTGGACCAGACTGGGGCGCTACAGAGGTAACCAAAACGCGTACTTGTAGCTACCTTTGACGTTGCATTTCTATCTTGTCGTTTGGCGGTTGCTGTCACGACAGCTTACTTAGCGACGGAAAAGGTAGATGGTTTTGGATAGTAGCTGTAAAGTATTTATCATTTTGTGTTCAACTTGGCAGTCTCGTTCGGTCGAAACAGCATTTGGTGTAATAAAGTGCAGAATTTCTTACGACTTATTCAGTCTAATGCGCACTTGTATTAATAAATCCCTTAAAATTAAGCTCTCATCGGATGGAAGGCTTATCGTTCTGCTTTAGGAGTGAGTATTTCTTGCCCTTGTCGTGAAAGTCGCGTCTTTTGCCTTTAGTGGGAGAATGGGATGTGTTAGCCTAACACCGTAGTTGGTGGTGTAGTGGTGATGAAAGCTGTTGCGATACCGGGGCCAATGTTGCGGGCACGACAAGAGTGGCCGATGGCCCCAGCATCTCAAAGTAGCTTTCATCTCTCGCTCCTTTCCGAATAGCCAATGTCTTTCCAATTCACTGGTGTTAGGCTTGGTAGACTGGATGGAACCACGGAAATAGGAAGCATATAAATTAGTTTGCACTATGAGTGGTGCATATTAGCTATGAATTTCAAACTACAGGTTTCAAGTTTCCCCGCATTGCAACATCGGAAGTGGAGGTGACTAACCACCACATTCGAATTTTCTAAAGTGGATTAGAGGGTAGGGCATAAATTCTTCCAGGAATATGAGATCCACTTTTTCACCTCGTAGGTGGAAGGTTCCAGGACCCAACCACTGCTGCTATTACTCTGTGGATGTCGTCAAGTATGAACAAAAAAAGTGACGTGGAATCCGATGGGTGGCTTTTGAAATCGAGGTGTGAAGGGCTGTTTGCTATTGCTGAGATGTGGCATATCCTGAAGTTCGTGCAGATTCACTGACTGTAGAAAGTCTTAACATTTGCCGTGTTGAAACAATCACCATCACAACTTATCATGCATAAGCCTTTCTCGAGGAGACAAGCTGGCTCCAAATCGCGCTTTCATAGGAAGTTTTGTATCTCACTTATTTCTTAACTGATTCTCTTCGTTCTATAATACCTCATCCCTTTTGCGTATCCCTCCGTGTACCAGCTGTTAAAATCGTCTATTTTGTCGTATCCATCACCGTCATAACCATTCTTCACTTCCTCCCGTTATTTCGCATTTGGTACGAGAATGTTCAGTGCTTCTTGATTGAATTGGGAGAAGCTGCGACTGTTCTTACCCGTCGTCTCAAATCGCTACCTTCTGCCTGTCTGCTTGGGCACCTTCAAAGGTCTGTTTCTGGATAAATTCTGGCTTTGGGGACAGTAACACCCCTGCCATTTCAGTCAATCGATTAATTCCTGGCTCTAAAAGAAGGTAAATTTGTGAACAGCTCGTTTGAGCAACGACTACACTCTGCAGTGCTACAGCCAACATGGTGCTCTGATAGAGGCATGCCACTTTAACTTGGACGGTCTCACGTGCACAGACAAGCAGGCTGTTACATTGCTTTGCATTTGTTGGGGGTCAACTTGACTGTGAGAGTAAATTTCCAAAAGACCCTAACCGACTGCCAAACACGCCTCTTGGGGATTTGGACACCTGCACACCAACATACGTTACATGTTAACTTTTGTCAAGGGAGAAGAAGAGCATGGAAAAAGCGCTCTCTTCACATTACATAATTCGATAGCACTTATTCACTACCCTTATTTTTCTCATTAATATTAAAATAGAGATGTTACAGGACAATAAAGTGTGAACTGTGCAAAATTGGAAGTTTACATCTCATAGCTTCTTGGCGGCTACTAATTAAACCTCCTCGTGGCAGCAGTTATGGAATACTCAAAGGAGAATTTTGTTAGTAATTTTTTTCCGCAGAGGATCGGCAAAAGATTGACCCGCAATTTGATGGCGATTCGGTACTCTGGAGGCCCTCCGTTATCCGTGCCTTACGCCGGCAACGTGTTCTGGTAGGCCGAAGAAGTGAAATACTGTATACTTCTCTACAAACAGGAAAGGGGTACTAAAATCCGTATATGCCACAAAACACTGCCATAAGTGCTACCATAAGGGAATGATGAATAATGCGGAAGGTGTCTCTGTTTAGAAATCGTGACTTGCACGGTACAAACCTGTTTTAGGTGAGGAAATTCCTCCCTCTTGTCCAGCACATAGAAGTGATTTTTAAAGCAAGCACAAAAAACGGAACGATGAAGTGTAACCCTCTCGGCAAGATGGAATGGAAGATAATGCGCAGTCCCCTTTTTTGCCACATGACAGTAATTATGTCGATGATGCTTGTCTAGCAAGCTGACCTTCAGTGTCCGGATGAGTTTGTAATACTTGGTGCATCTCATGTACCCTGTTAGTAGTGGAAGACCCTGATTCAGCCCTAATGAATCGCAAAATCCGGTTTAATGTGAGACCTCTTACAATTGTGCGATTTGCTTGACTATTTTGGCAGGTGCTTCTCTGCTCCAACTTTGAACAAAAGCGCATGAAATATGTCCATTAAAGGTCTTTTATCAATGCCATTTCCTATGAGCGATTTATCAACTATTGTTTTATTCCCCATTTTTTGCCTCAAATGACTGCCCAAACCATTGCCTAAAGTAGATCTGGAGGCTTATGACGGCTGTCGGACCAACCTTGAGAGTCTATGACAGATCTCACAAATTACGTCCTTACTTTTCAAATTAAAAACATTATTATTTACCAAACAATTGCAGAATATAAAACTACTTGAAAGAGGCAATTACCCGAATCTACTAATGACTGGTGGAAACGGAGAGATTTAATGCACATTTGCCTATCATCGACGGTTAAGTAACGCCATATAGTTGCAACCACCCTCAACATAATGTAAAGGCGTGCCAAACACCTACTACGAGACGTTATTTGTCTAACTACCTGGTTCAGCACAACATCTGGCTTGAGGCGACCGGAAATGCCATAAGTATACCTGAGACTTGAATGTAGCAGTCGAGAGTCTTTAATCTATTAGCATGCAAAGTCTATCTGGAAAGCGACCGACGGCCACCGAGCTTTGTGATGCGTAGATATTTTTAACTCAGCTACACCTAACGCTTACCCAGCGTCCAAAGGATAAATCCAAAGTACTATTCGGATAAGAAGAATTGAGAATGCTCAGCGACAAATAAAAAACCGAAGATAACGCCACCAGTATCGTCAACGCCATTAGCATGGAGCGAGCCAAAGAGTGTTAGAGCGACCAAATCTCTCACTTAAGGCATTTCATTTACAAAAAAACCGCACACCTGATTAATAGTAAAAAGCAGTTACCTCCCTACTCATGCACAGAAGCTCCCACATCATCACGGATTTACATTATTGCCGAACAATAGGTAACCCTTACAAATGCAAAAGCAAGAGAAGTAAATACTAGCACTAGGCTGACATTAGCGTAGCAGAGTAGGTAGCTAATGACACACCTCAATGCTCGAAAACATGATAAAAAGTTTAAGCTGGTAAACTATTTGGTATCCCAAACCAACCATGCTAACAGAGATATATCTCAAACTGCATTACTTATAAAATCAAATGTCATTCTAAGATCAGTCTACAACACCCAGCTAGAAATACGTGCAGTAAAACTGCTCTTTGATACCAACAAGTCGATAAAAAAAGTATACTGAGGCACATTACAGACGGAGGATGTAATACCTACTACCAATACACATACTCACCTGCACCAGCCACAAACCCACATACATTAAAAAGTTGCACACGAAAACAAAACATGCTTCCGTATTCTTTGACCCTAAGTTCAAATAACATTTTGCGTATGCTTTAAAATAAACTAATACCTTCGATAATGGTTCCTCTGCCAAAAAATGTTTTACAAAAAAGCACTAAAATTATCTGCCTTTTTAGTTTTGCATGCGAATGGCGATTAATCTCTAGAAATTCTCGTGATTCGATTAAATAGGGGATCAAAAGGAATACTTTGGGTATCAGTTGCAATTCGTTGATCTTGGTTGATGAAACCATAATACTAAACATTTGGATAAAATGTGCGTCATTTTCAAATTTTTGACTGCCCCTCTCTATTTTAATGTAGCGTCCCGAGACTCCCTTAAGACGAAAGAAGACACAATACTCGGGCAGAATATATATATTCAGCACGGAGAAGGTGTCTGGGCTATTGGCATGGCCCAAAAGGCCACCCCACCCAGCGAGGTACAAGGGGGCTAATTCGAAGTACAAAAGTTGCGCCTCACCAAAACCGAGGGATAAACCACTATCGTATTACATTAAGGCCTGTGCTTCGCCATGAGCTTTCCAGGAAGACACCCTATTGGTTTTACACGGATATGCCATCAATGAGTGATGCAACTGTAAAAAGAACTGAGGCACACTTGCCTGAGCACTTTATTCAACCCATACAGTCAATAATTGGCACCGAGAACTAGAGAGAGAGAGAAGGAGTGGTCCGGCAGTCAGTCAGACAAACAGATCGCTTTATTATAGGGCCCTAGTATGGATCATGTGTGCTATCCACGATCATGCGAGCACAGGTGTTGGCTGAATGGTAATAACGAGCCCTACTGATTGGTTGCACCCACATTAGAAGTGACCAATGAAAGTGGCAGAAGTGCCCGCGGGTTCGGAACTGCAATGTGAGACACTCATTACCACTTGATCAGAGGAAAGTGTAACGAAGCAATGAATTCAACTGGAGCGAGTCTCATTAGTGAGGTATGCAGAAAGTTGTGAGTTATTTGTTTAGTAAATGACATTTTATTGGTGTGCTAATGAGTGGAGGTAAAATAGGTTAACTCTGAAGGGTAACATTGAAAGAGAAGTAAAAATTTGTTAGTTTGCAAGGCGGCAGGCATTTATCTAAGCAGATGAGTGAATAACTTAACTGGAAGGTTTTGCACAGACAGATATGTCGTCTAAATTAATGTACAAATAAAATGGAGCTGCGTACCATGGATTTGGAAGTGCAGAAAAGGTGCAGGTAACTCAAACACCCAAATTGCAGGTGTATTTGGTCAACTCGATCAATAGCTAACTTTGTACCGACTGAAGAGCTCATAGGCGTGTGTAGAGGTTGAGAGCAGAGCAAGGGGAGTCAAACAGTTTAGTGGAAGTAGAACCTATAGGATTTGAGGGGTCCAACGGGTGAAAGCACAGTAAGACAAACTGTGAAGTGACTGCAAGAATATGGGTGTGGTATATCACAAATCAGTGGTAAATCATCTGCGTGTCTTCTTCAAATCTGTAATGCTTCATGCATTACCTCACACAAAGGCCTTTTTTACAGCTGTGCCTGTGATAATGGCTGTGGCGGTAGAGTGGAATAGCCAGATTGTTGTGTTTTGTTTGCACCCGCAATCGTGTGTATCGGTCTTCAAGGTCACATTATTGAGCCCAATGAGACTGGAAACATTTCTATGCAATAAAAAGTGAGCTTTAATTTTGTTTTCAATTTTGCCGAGAAGGATGGTTGATCTCCACAGTCCCTTGTGGGGTATCACCTCCTCCTTGCAACGTTGTCTGCTGCCACATGCCAAAGCCGTGACAGCACATTGCGTTCACTGTCATGCGGCGCTAAATGCGGCCGAATTGCATCCCAAATGCACCATTGTGGAACAACCCAGTCGAGAGCAGAATCGAAAGCAAAATCAGAAGGAGGACCAAAGGCAGGATGCTGAAGAAGAGCATGTTCTGCAGCATCACCTAAGGATCGCACTGTGTTTACAACTACATATTTTCTTCCTAAAGCAGAATTACTTGTCTAAGTACAACCTAATGAGTGATCCGTTATTTGTGGCCCAGATTAGAATAATACCCGTGACAGTTTGGTACCGTTTCATTTTGGCCCATGAGCGGCAAATGACTGCTCTATATGGTTGTTGGGCAGGTGTTTTGCGTCTGAATGGCTACAGTTTGGAAGCTAAGGTATCTTCTAAGTAGGTAAGGGCGAGGTGGGAAAGAACATCAGGACAAATGGAGAGATCTGTTGATGTCCTCCATATTCTCGTAATGATAGGGTGTCAAGGAAGTTAACTCATTTCACGTAGAATCGTCCATTTTATCTTTCTCCCTCTCCTCTTTCCCACCATGCAGTACAATCTGATGCTGCATGCAAAGTTAAATGACTTGTCGCACCAAAAGGAGATCTTAAAGTCGCGTTTGGAGCGGTTGCTGGGATCGAAGTCCTCGTCGTTTCAGATGGAGAAGAGCACAAAGGAGGAAATTATTGAGGTCTTGGATGGAGCGGTGCTGCACATGTGCCTGGCGGCAAACACAGCTCTGGATACTGCCACAGCGAAATTGGAGAAGGTGGATGAGGCCTACCATGAAAGTATAAACTCGCTCGTGCAACAGATTAAGGGCCTCTTGACAGAAGTGAGCAGGACGCAAGATGACTACGCGTCGCTGAAAGGAGTCACGGTGAGTGACAATGAGTGCTGGACCATGTATGGCTAATTCCTTTGACTGACTCTCCTAATTTTTCCCTTCCTACCTACCCTTTCCGCTTTATCTCACCATTCATTTTCCCCTTCTTGGATGTAGAATTTGTTAAAAGTGTTTGCAAATCAGAAGCGGCTGGAATGGCTTCTTCATGAAGCCGTGCGTTTGGACGAGATGGATGAGAAATCTAAAACCTACGCCCATAACACAAATGCAAGTGTCTGATCACTTCACTAAGGCAAGTTTCCCAACCCGCCTCGTTCGCATTTGTGTGTGTGTGTGTGCACGTGTCTATTTAGAGATGAGATTTGAGTTGTGGGTTAACGCTATATTTCGATGGCTGTTTAGAGAGTGGTAGGCAGACCACTGATGTTTTTGCTTTACGTTATCCATAAGATAATTATCAAACTGTACAACATCCCTACTAATGGAAGCGAAATGATACAACAGTTGTTGCGATAAATAATAAAGAAGGTAAAAATAATGGCGAAGGTGATTTGCATGGGCTGTTTAGGAAATGGACATTACTAGTAAAAGTAGGGTATAACTAATATATATTTTGTTCTACCTTCGTTTAGATTAGGCAAAGTGTAAGTGACATCAGTCTCGTCACTTTTGATGGGCTGCTACTTCTCCCACGAAGAAGGTCCAGCTGCGGCGTTGCAGACAAAAGGTGAGTGCTAAAATATTACTGAGTATTTTTTGAATATTAAGTTGCTAAATAGAAGAATGTGCTCGTAAAATTAAGTGGTAGGAGGAGGGAAAAATAAAGCAGTTAAGCATGAACTAGGGTCTGGCAGATTTCGCTAGCATTTGTTTAGAAGAAGTAATTACACAGAGAATGCAGGCCAAATAAAAAGGATAAAAAAAGGTGTAATGAGAAAAAAATTTAATGCTAAACGCCTTACAAGCAGCCAAAACGAACAGAGGCCCGAGGAAACACTCCTTCAGTTTTACCTCGTCTGCTTGTGTGGATTGCGTTGTCTGGTGGAAGAAGAGGCTCGCAATGTGTTTGTACATCTCCACGTGTAAACCTCACCAATTAACGCATATGGGAGGGAACGGTGAGGAATCACATTGATGCTTACGTATATCTCGCTTCTTTCAATCAACGTGGTGCCACATGCGCATGATATTATTCTCACTCAGCATTCGGTACGTGGCATCCACGACACTCGAAGTAGCTTCCCCTGCCACTGCTGCGCTTTGAGCCACGTGCTGGTGCATCTGAACCACGCCTTTCCCCTCCAATCGCAGAAATGAACTGACCTCCTCCAATGACGTCGGAACCGGTCACCAGGTGGTTGTTGATGGCCTTCCGCCTCTGGTGAGACAGAACGACATTCGCAGCCTCTTCGGTCAATTCGGTAAAATCACCAATGTGACGGTGGATGAGAGCAAGCACGGAGCTGTCGTGACTTTCTCCACTGCAACAGCGCTCCAAAGGGCGGTGGCAGCGACCCCTCCCCACCTCCTGGGTGCCACTCTTCGCGTCTCCATGCCTCTGAACCACAAATGCAGGTGCGGGTAATACTTGGTCATTCACATTCACTTCTCCATTTACCTGCCTCTCCCAATGCTGCGATGCCGTAACTCTGCAATGTTTCACCAACGATAGTCTTATTGCACGCTCCTTGCTGATGTCCGATTTGCGGCGTGTTGTGTGCTATGGTATTGGCGGTAGAAGTTGGGCCCTTTCTGTTTTTTATTTACTTTTGTTTTGATTTTTCTGTTGCCTTCTGCTTTTGTTTTTCTGCCTTAGCGATTTTTCTTTACTTAACTTCTCTTTGATTACTGCCTGCATTTTTTTGTATAATGTAATATCCAACTGCCGCTTTTTCATTGATTGCATTCAAAAGCGCTTTGTGCGTTAGGGGTAATGTGCATTTTCAAACTGACATGTTTCAAATTTTACAGTATTATAGCGAATTTGATCAGATGCTCTTTAAGGCATGTCTATTATTTAAATTTTTTTGTAGATCTGAAATTTTGGCGTTAGCCATAGATGCCTAATTCGACAATATCAGAAACAATTATGCTGACGCAATTACTTCTCTACTTGGATTCATAATTCGCGGTAACATCTGTAGAGGCACAACTGGCTTCTTCAACAATAACAGTGAACAAAATTTAAGTAAGACCTAATTACGAGAAAAGTTAATGCAACGGAGGAGGCACAAACTGCCACCCTCATTGAATTCGAACAAGCATTAAGCCAGTTCATTAGGAATGGACGCAAATCTGCTTAGTTACACAGTTATCAACACCCTTCGATACCGTTGCATTTTACTTGAAATTAACTGCCACGGAACCCAAAAATCACTTATTTACCCTTCTCTTAACAACTCATCATAAATTCCTTCATTTTCTTTAGTTTCTTTTCGACAAATTTGATTGGTGAAGCAGAAGTGAAATGCATAATTGCAAATTTGAAAAAGGCTTATGACATCTTCAATTTGCGTCAGTAAACCGAGGCTTACGACGTTGGGCTAGCTTTGTACCCGCCTCAAACGCAAATATGGCAGAAGATGCTTTGGGGGTAACTTAGGGCCTTAGTAGGGTTAGTTGGGAAGAAGAGAAAAGACTGTTATGTACTGCAAGCAAAATTGCAAAGTAATGTCTGGAAAAATCTACTTCTGTAAATATCACCCATCTTACGCGTAAATTCAAGTGTGTGTTGAGGGCTCGCAGTGTGGCATCCAATTTAATATGAAATTATGTCGGTAAAATTCTGTCTTTGATTTTGCTAGGGTAAACTATTAGAATTGCCTCAAGCAGCAGACACCAGTCCTGCATGATGACAAGAATGTGAATGCTTTTAAGTTATATTCTGGAGGCGTGCATGAGTGTATTATGTTAAACCATATCCTACTTTAATATATTGAAATATTACTTTGCACAAATTTGACTGTAATTCAAGAGGTCACTGAATAAATGCAGTCCCACTCCATTCATTAAAATGTAACAGCGATTAGACCAAAATCTGTGGAAGAGGTTGCATTACTTTGGCGGCTTTATTGAATCTGCTTTTGGTTACGCGGAGTCTTATTTCTCTGCAGAATGGCCTCCAGGTCATGCCAGTAGTCTCTCAGTCCTTCTGTACGCCTGTAATACATTTCCTGCAATACAACTGTGACTTTATCTGACCACAGAAAAGACTTGGGATGTTGTGTTGTCAACAGATGCAAGCGAACCGTATCCCAAAGGACAATAAACCTGACTTCTGATACTAAATGCCAAACCTCAACGTGACAGTGGAGGGCATCTGTTCCTGATGGGTGAATTTGTTGAGACCTCCAAAAACAGAGGTGCACGATTCGTGTGCAAAGATGCCACTTTAGTGGGCGTGCAAAACCTTCCCCACCTTACCTCTCTACTAGCCCAATACAATCCAGAGGACATGTGCCTTGACAGCGCTGAGGACAGGAAAGTGTGGCAAGGAGAAGTAGATACACACCATTGTTTAAATGACTACTATTAAGCTGGTCTTCTTATGGCAAGGCTAGGAACGGAGAATCGAGGTTGACCATTGTAAAGCGTCATTCAGTTGTCAGTTGTATGAGGTTAGTGCATTGCATTTTTCCTTAATACAGTTTGCAAAAGTGCAAAACTCCTGGTGCGTCAAGAGGTATTAAACATCTTCTCAACTGTACCCATTTTCGATGATTGGTGCGGCTAGTTTGAGGGATGTATTTTAAACTACTGGCTGCGATGTGATGAGTGAAATGGGAGAGAGGGTTATGTAATGCGCTGACAGTGTGTTAAAATCTGTGTTCAATTATATGGGCACACAAGTCCTCACAGGTTGTGCTTCAGCTCAACGGTATGGCCTTCTGTCAGTACTAGTAGAAATTCAGTCCCCCTCTACCTCAGTCATATTTACTGCCTTACCACTTTAACTTGCAACGACCTTGAGAGAAATTCGGGGGCTACAGAGGCAGTTTAAACCCGTACTTGTGGCCAACTTTGTGATTAAACTTCAATTCCTTCAGTCAGTTGACAATTGCTCTCTCATTTAGTAGTGTAAAAGGTAAATGGGACTGGATGAGGAATGTAGAGTAATTAACATCGTTCCGCCTCTAACGTGAAATTCATGGCCAGCCAGAATATCAATTGTTTCAGCACCCATTCCCGTCAACGTTGACTAACACACATACTTTTATCTAACCAATGTGTTTGTTCCATGGGTTTGGAGGCCAGACAGGAAGGGTTAAACAGGCCACGCGCTTTTTGGCAGACCCTTTCACATTGTGCTTCACCATGCATGGAGATGTGAATATACTCTGTGTATTTCATTTAATTTCTTTACTTTAATCTCACCTTCCTTTGCAATTCGGCGATGTCAAAATACCTCACTCTTCTCTCACATCTAGGTCCTCCCTCCTGGCCAACCTCATTATGGGGCACTTGAATATTTGAAGCAGAAAAAACCTATGTATGGTGACAATCATTGCAATATTATACTTTAAATGGTTCCTTTTTAGTGGACTGACCCTCCCGCCATTTCATTTAATCCAAATATACATGCGATTGCATATTAACCCGAAACGTGGTCTGAATACATCCTTTGTGGTCGTTGAATGTAGACGCATCTAGCTGTTGCAACGAAAAAATGCAAATAAACAAATTTATACGCGCTACGTTTAGTTAGCACCCCAGTGTCTTCTTTCATTAGTCTATAATAATTAATGTGGAAACATAGGAATTATGTTTGCAATGGTCGCAGGAGTTAAGAGTCCGTGTATTTGGACACTCTCGTTTGCATTCCATTCCGTCTCGTCGATTTTTTGGCAATGGCACAGCAGTCGTGCCACTGCTGGTTATATCGACAAAATAAACCGTACTTCAAGTCAAGCTAATAGCGACGGGTAGAACTGCTCAACCAGGCACTCATTGTGACCGAATCACAAATCTATCAAAAATGTGACAGCCAAATGCAAATTTGAGTGATTCCAGAAGATTAAACAATTCAATACAGAGTTAGAGCATGACACTTAGAAGCGGAATGTCGTTCCGAAGCAGAGTCTCCAAAGCTGCATTTATATCCTCTCATTGAGTGTACTTCAACGCAATTCCTTACCGAATCTCAGCTCACCTCAGCGGTGGTGGTGGTAAAGGAAATTTGCTCAGCGACATCTTTTCTTGCAAGATTTACTTATGCAAGCTCAGTTCTACCTACGAGTTTTACTACATTTAAGTGAATACGGAATTTCCAGCCTTCCGATTGCGTGACATTTATGACTCCGTTTATTAGCAGTCGTTACTAGATACCAATATTCGGGCAAATTTGTTCCATAATTTTGCCAATCTTTTTTCCATAAATCACGTCAAGTTTTGAGTAGTTGCTGCTACATGTCTATAAAGAGGACTAACATTATTTGGCAAGAACTAAGGACAACAAGTCTATCATGTGATTACTGACTTCATGCACGAATTTGCGTAATCAGTTATAGTAGGAAATGCATAAGAGAACAATCCTGTTAAGCACGATAACAAGACCCTCGTGAAGGTCTAGGAAATTAATTAATTTTGACAAAAGCTTTGTATAAAGTTTGCAAAACATAGAAAAATTATAATTTGTTAAGATACCTGAGTCCGCGAAATGGCCAGTAATGGGGCATTGGCGGTGGCTGCAAGCAAACAAGAAGCAATGAAAATAATATTTTAGCAGATTCATATTGGAGGGTGTTTTGCAAACTTCATGCCAAATTTGCTGTCAAAATGTAATAGAATTTGTCGTATTAACAATTAACAACGCGCCACTTACTTAAAATTCAAGTTTTGATTTTTACTCATCAGTCAGGTTTCACCGCGCAACTGTGCATCCCTCATTGTCATTTCTAGTGCCATAGTGCATGTATTATTTTCAGTTGTCATTATCGTGCGGACAACGTAATTATGGAACAAAGCATTAGCTCCCATTCAAATTCCCATCTCCTCCCTTTGATTTCTACAATGTTTTTGCTTCTGATTAAGATGACACTACACCATTTGCAATGTGGTTGGGAACTACATGCAACCAAATTCATATAGCCTAGATTAAATGCACTCTTGCCCAAATAATTACACATTAGCCCCTGCTATGACTACCTTGATAACGATGAGTGTTAAGATCAATCGCTCTCTCATGGCTTGACATAAATGTCAAGCGATCTTACGAACGCGCTAGTTAGCAACTGCTCGGCTTCCCCAAAAATTCCTAACAAAATTACTCGACCAGAAATTTTTTAAATATAAAGGCAGAATAGATCCTTTATCATTATTTGATACATAAGGGATTACAGCAAGTGTGTCATCAACTGGTCAGTATGGAGTGGCCATTTCGACCAATCTCAATTCGCTTGCAGATTGCTTCATAACAGCCCCATTGCAGCACACTGCACCATTTGTTGATAAATTTCCATCGGTGGCGTTTGATGCACCACAGTCGCCAATTCGTTGGTGCCGCAGTCACTGGATACCTACCGAAACTACCATATCTCAGAAGGAATTTCGCATAGCACTCCACTTTACTCGACTTGTCTATCCGCGAATTTATAAAGACTGCAATAACAAGTACTTTATGGGGTGCCAGCAATTTCAAGGGGGAGATCAGATCGTTCTTGAAAAACCGCGGGAGATTTGCCAGATAAACTACGCAGTCGCAACAGTCAATAATATCTCGAGTCCACTAAAATGATTTAATCATTTCCTCATGAGCAGAATCATACCTACTTGTATATCCACTTACAGAAGCGCTATTTATGCCCCATGATAACTTGTTCAAGGACCCACTACAATAATCCAATGTTCGTATTGCCTTCCGCCGTAATATTTTTTTCCACTTTCGACATCTTGTTGACATCTTCGTTT